TACGATGGTATCCAGCTGGGGTACAAATTGCCTTGCAACTTGTGTTATGCTGATATGTTGTATCGAACAATGTTTGAAATAAGATTTTTTCATCTTTTAAGATCTGGTTCTGGTTAATTTCCCATTTTTCCTATCTTTATTTGCAATGGGAAACTGTTGAATTATACGAGAAGAAACAGAAATATTTAAAGATTACAAAGGATGTCAACCAACTTTAAAATGTCATGTGGCCTGATAAACAATTCTCAACTTTGTTAATCTCTTTTGATCTGATAAAAAAAAATGTACAAAAGTAGGATATATACCTTTTGTATCGAGGCAAGCAACAAGCATAACATTAAAGTTACGAAAAAGTTGTAGGCATTTGAAAGATGGGATTCAATTTATCATGAAGCTTATTAATTACCTATATATATTATGGCTTATATTGAACAGTAAGATGACTTGAATTGATTAAATAAATAAAATTAGAATTCATGCTTCACACCGTTAAAAACCTCCTATAATTTAATTAAAATAGTACAGTCCTGCAGCGAAACAGAGATATCTAACTAGTAATTTTTTAAATACTTTTTATGGTAGAAGTTAACCATCGTAATGGGGGAAAAAAGAAAACCCTTAACATTAATGTATCCTCTCGAATTGAAACCGAGCCACTAGTTGCTAGCTATGGAGGCGATGGTGATTACACCAAGACAATTTTCGTTTTATTATGCAAAACGTTTTTCGAGATCCTAAAAATTCATTTAGGATACCTTTTGTATGGAGGGCAAGCAACAAGTATAACATTAAAGTTACGAAAAAGTTGTAGGCATTTGAAAGATGGGATTCAATTTATCATGAAGCTTATTAATTACCTATATATATTATGGCTTATATTGAACAGTAAGATGACTTGAATCGTGTAAATAATTTAATTAAATAAATAAAATTAGAATTCATGCTTCACACCCTTAAAAACCTCCTATAATTTAATTAAAATAGTACAGTCCTGCAGCGAAACAGAGATATCTAACTAGTAATGTTTTAAATACTTTTCATGGTAGAAGTTAACCATCGTAATGGTATGAATGATTTTTTAGGGCTTAGTGATCTTATTTTTTGGCCATTTTATCTTTTCTTTTGTGCTCACACTCTTCTTCTAAGACCCATTTATACTCATAATTTTTAATTTTCTTCAAATCTGTTATTATATTAAGAAAATCTAATTTTTTTATGCTTTTATTTTTTTATCTTGATTCTGTATGTATAAATCTTGTCTGTCCGTCCTATTTGATCGCTTCGCATGTCTCTAATTAGGAGTTGATGGGTTGTGTAAATGAATTGTCTTCTCATGGTGTGTTTCCTCAGGAACCTTTTGTTGGATGGCTGAGTGCAGGTGCCATCTAGAAAACACATTTGACCAATGTTCTGTATTAGTTTTAACTATTCATCTCGCTACTTGATGGTTTGCAACAATACTTGTCGTGTGATGACGTAGGACGACATGCATGTCTCCGAGAGCGGCGGTTGAGCATCATCTGAAATGTAAGATGTACTTGACATTGATTATTGAAGCTATAAATATTCAATTTTATATATTATAGAAAACTTGCAATCAAAACTAAATACTAGCATATATATATATATATATATTGTATAAGAGATTGAAAAACTAAGGTAAGAAAAAGTGTAGAAAAAGTAGTGTAAAAAACTTTTCCTTTAATTTTAGAATCAAAACTAATAAAGAATAGTTAGATGACTTGAATTGATTAAATAAATAAAATTAGAATTCATGCTTCACACCGTTAAAAACCTCCTATAATTTAATTAAAATAGTACAGTCCTGCAGCGAAACAGAGATATCTAACTAGTAATGTTTTAAATACTTTTCATGGTAGAAGTTAACCATCGTAATGGTATGAATGATTTTTTAGGGCTTAGTGATCTTATTTTTTGGCCATTTTATCTTTTCTTTTGTGCTCACACTCTTCTTCTAAGACCCATTTATACTCATAATTTTTAATTTTCTTCAAATCTGTTATTATATTAAGAAAATCTAATTTTTTTATGCTTTTATTTTTTGATCTTGATTCTGAATGTATGTACTCTAGCGTGAGGATAAATCTTGTCTGTCCGTCCTATTAGACAGCTTCGCATGTCTGTACTTGGGAGTTGATGGAGTGTGTAAATGAATTGTCTTCCTGTCGTGTATTTCCTCAGGGACCTTTCGTTGGATGGCTGAGTGCAGATGCCATCTACAAAACACATGTGAGTATAAATCTTATCTGTCCGTCCTATTTGATCGCTTCGCATGTCTCTAATTAGGACTTGATGGGGTGTAAATGACTTGTCTTCCTGTCGTGTATTTCCTCAGGGACCTTTTGTTGGATGGCTGAGTGCAGATGCCATCTAGAAAACACATTTGGCCAGCGTTCTGTAAAAGTTTTAATGATTTTCATCTCAATACTTGATGTTTGGCAACAATACTTGTCGTGTGATGACGTAGTCTCCGAGAGCGGCGATTGAGCGTCATCTGAAATGTAAGATGTACTTGACATTGATTATTGAAGCTATAAATATTCAATTTTATATATTATAGAAAACTTGCAATCAAAACTAAATACTAAGGATTGAAAAACTAAGGTAAGAAAAAGTGTAAAAAAAGTAGTGTAAAAAACTTTTCCTGTACCTCCTTTTATATTTAATTTTAGAATCAAAACTAATAAAGAATTAATTCTTGTAATTACTAGAATTAATTCTCTTCAACTTTAATTAAACAATATCTCTCAAAGTTTTAATCTTAAAAAAGAGCGAGATTCACTTTAGTTTGACTTCAAATATGTTCATTAAACATGTTTTGTTGAGCTTAAAAAATTATTGTTACACGTGAATGAAAATGCCAACAATAAATCAATTTCATTTGTGTTATAGCAAACACAGAAGCACTGAGGAGAGCACGCGCACACAAGTACTTCTGAATTGAAAATGTTGTTTCTTCTTAATGTTGGATATATCTTATTCAGTTAATCATCGAAGGCCTAGTGTTGTTTCCTCTGCACGTTAGAAAAACAAATAGCAAAAAACCGCCTTCAAAGAATCTTAATGCAACAAGCTCAAACAAGAACACAACCGAGTTACAAACAAATAGTATAAACAAGAAGCATAGTTAAACTTGATCGAGTGAACTGATTTTTTTTTTTATTTATGTGAAATGTTCGGAGCAGTTTGTGCGCACCACGACTAATCCCCACGATCTACTGAATACCTTGCAAACCCAGTAAACATGTAAAGCATCGTGAGAATGACAGGTGTATACGCCAGAGCTCAAACCCAGATGCAATGAAAGAAGACAAGCCCTTTCTACTACTAGACCAAGCACTGAAATGCAAGATTATCAGTTTAAAGAAAACCTGGATTTTAGTTGAACGAGTTATAACTCATCAGCAACCTGCCTTTACTTGGCTTCAAGTCCCAAAACCCAAAAGGTGTTGCAAGTTGGAAGCTAAGAAGCTACTCGTGTATGAGTAGGAGTTCCTATCGGTCCAGAATTAGAAGTAAGCTCAAAACCTGGATTTGGCAAAAAGAACCTATCATAAACATGAAGCAAAGTTAAACTTGATCGAGTGACCTGCATTTTAGTTGAACGAGTTATAACTCATCAGCAACCTGCCTTTACTTGGCTTCAAGTCCCAAAACCCAAAAGGTGTTGCAAGTTGGAAGCTAAGAAGCTACTCGTTTATGAGTAGGAGTTCCTATCGGTCCAGAATTAGAAGTAAGCTCAAAACCTGGATTTGGCAAAAAGAACCTATTATTTGCGTTCTCCTACTCCTAATAGTACCCATTATTCTTATTCTAAAATACCATTTGAGCCCCTTTTCCCGACAACAGAGGGGAGACCTTACTTTCTCAAGTCATACGTTAAATTAACCTCAATAAATTCAAAATATTATTATTTAAATATTTGTTTAAAAAAAATTAAATGATTTTTAACTTGATTTTTTTTAAAATTAAATTAAATTTAAATCAAATTAATCAAATCACATACAAATTTACTGTATCTACCAAATCAAATCACATCAAATCAACCTTTACCCGAATCAAGAGCCATGATACTAGCAAGTGAGGTTCTGGTCTAGCGGTGAGAGGAGCTTGTCCCCTTTCTTCGCATCTGAGTTCAAACCTCACCATACACGCAATTTAAATGATTTTTAACTTGAATTTTTTTTAAATTAAATTAAATTTGAATCAAATTAATCAAGTCACATATAAATTTACTGCATCTATCAAATCACATCAAATCAACATCAAATCAACCTTTACCTGAATCAAGAGCCATGATACTAGATCAATAGGCCATCAGGATGACCCACAAGGTTAAGTCCAATTTAATACCACTATCAAAAAAAAAGTTTCCTAAGGCAGTGTGGGGAACCATACAAGTTATAGCAATTCCTGACCCTGACAAGGCGTTAGGTGTCATGTCTTTAGGACTTCCCTGCTCTAGGAAAATAAAATGCTCAATTGAATGCTGATCGATGTTTCTTCTAATTAATGTCAGTAGCCAGGCAGAGCTGATGCAGATTTCTGGGCGAATGCTTTGATATTAAGACAGTGATAGAAAGAATCTCGACATTCTCTTCTCTGGCACTGAACCAACAGCAGCTGAAGAGTACAAAGTGATCATGGGCTTGATTGATCTGTATACTTCTTCACCACCCTCCTCCTCTAAAGAAAACCTTGCTGTTTATGTGGTTTCTGAGTCAGGGTGATTTGAAGCAGAATTTGGGCTCTTAGATTTTTGTGAGATAGTAACAAGAAGAAACATATGAATCCTATTCTTTGGCGCTGAGATAACATTTTGCTCCATGTTGTTAGGAGGAGAAGTACTAATATATTCAGTGGTTGCTAGAATAATTTCTGAAATACATTTAGCTCCATTCTATTTGGTTGATATCTAGTGATTTCCATTATTTCAGAATACGAAAGTTCTACAGTAAAATGATCATATACTTGGTATCTGTAATTCGAGAATCTGTTATTAATATCATCTGATCACCCGCCATTATGTAAAGCAAAAGTGTATCTTTGCCTGATGGGAGATCAAACCCCACGCTAGTAATACCATAGTCTACTGTAAAATAATGCATGATTGTCGAGGCTGAAGGTGGACTTCTATCATTGCATTTTCATATACAACTCAAAATGACAGCACTGAGCAACCCTAGTATTCAACTCAACTACTGTGACCTAATATTCATAAAAAGATTTTAGAGTTCATAAGCAGGGAATCTAGCCTTGGATGGGTCGATCATATCTAGAAAAAGATACGCCATACCTCCCGTTCCTTCAAACATTGAGTAGGGGCTATCACCTCCATGCATCTCTCCTGCCGATATAAGTTTGTGAGCTCTATCCAGCAGAAAGCAAGTAAACGCTTTGGCCTTGTATAAGAATTCTATGTTGCCTGTTAGCTGGTACAGTGAGAGAAACACATATGCATTCCCACTGATGTCATGGCAAATTCCAACTCGCTTGAGCAGCCCACGGTTCCACACTACCTCTGCAGCATTTATAGCTGCTTCCAGAAACTCTTTATCTCCAAAAACCTGAGCATTGCACATTTCAATTTTGTAAAAAGTTGAAGCAAAGTAATTTCCAGAAGGACAAAGGGCTTCTACCTATAATTTTATATGATCTGGGCAAAAAATATTGCTATCTAGTTAGTTTCAGTCTTTAAGTATCCAGCCTGATATGTGTGATCAGAGCTATAAAAAGAAGGAATAAACTTTTCTACTACAGAAGTTACAGTTTCAAGTAAACCTATGTATACTGTTCCTAAACAAAACATTCTTAACAAAAAAGAAGGCTACACTCGCTTGGAAACCTACTCGGATTCAGATAAAAAATAAAGATCTAATTCAAAGATTTTACATTTATATCATGTATTCATCCATATCGGATACCTCAGAGATCCAAGACAAACACATGAAATAAATGCCATTGCCACTTGCCAATGAATTTGCAAATTTAATGCTCTCATTAACAGGACTAAAGGAGATAGGTCAAAATCTGAATCATTCATAAATATCAAGTTCCTGCTCCAGTGGGGCTTAAATTAGCTTACAATGAACTAGTTAACTGGAGAAATTTACCTTAACTGCCTTGACAAGTGTAAGAGCAATTCCAGGTGCTCCATGACACCAATGCACAAGAACATCCCTCTTGCGATCTTCTTCACTTGTAGAGTAGTTGCCGCTGGGAAAGCAGTTATTGATCATGTATTTAAGGGTGCCCTTGACATCCTCAAAGTCATCAGGTTTCAGATCTACATCCAATAAAACATTCATAATACCTGCCAATCCATGGGCAGCACCCCAATACCTCTCACCATACCATTCATACATTAACGGGGAACCTCCTTTCTTCGCCAATGCTCTTCCATTTTTTATAATTTCATTTGCAACAGCACGCTACAATAATTTTACCATAAGACTATTACATCCTGCTTAACTAATTCAAAACCAAAGTAGCAAAATAGGTAATAGCAGAAATCTCACAATGGTCGTATCAGGGACAGTCCCCTGCCCCATGTGTTTATTTAGGAACAAACAAGCCCATAAGAATCCACTTCTTCCATATAACAACTCATCAGGGTGATTTCTCAACAGCTTAATCTGTTTCATAAACAATCAATAAATACTCACCGACAACCAATTTGTTTTTTACAAAAATATGAAAAATAACACAAAATAGAGCAAAAGGGCCACCTCTCCTAATTGACTCAGATAGTAACTCTGTAATGCTTCATCATTAGCGTGCTTTGCAGCTACAGCCCCAAGTGCACAAACACCAGCTCGCCCACATATAAATGTCACATCCCTAGATTATAAAATACATTCAACAACATTACCAGATGTCCAAACCGAATCCGCCCCTCTTTAGTAGCTTCAAATTTGCGTTTGACACAAGTTATAATCAAAACCCAAAATCATATCCAATTGGATCATACCATAAATTTAATCACAAAAACAAACTATACAGTGAAACAACATGACATCTTCACCAAGAAAGGGAGACTCTACCTTGAAGCCCGAGAAGCAGAATCACAAGCCTTAACAATCTCCAAACAGAGAAAGAGATCATTTTCATTACTAGTAACTTGATAGCTCTTATAAAGCAACAAAGCAGTGCCAAGATTTCCACTGTAAAGAGTAAAATCATGCACAACTTGCCCGCCTAACCCCCATGTCTCCATCACTATCTGTAGAACACAAAAATCCCACTAAACACACACAGTGCCAACATTACCAAACAAAGCAAAAACAACCCAAGAAATGAAAACAAAAGAAAGAGAAGTTGTTGTTACTGTTTCTTTAAGATCCAAACCAGAACGTTGAAACTGCTTGGAAAGTGAAGTGTAGGGCATTGAGAGAAGCTTCATGAGAGAATTCTCATCGGTTACTTTATCTTCTTCTTGTATATCTTCTGTTACAAAGCTTGGCATTGCGTTGGGAAAGAATCGATCAGCCATTGCTGCCTCTGGTTCTGAAGCGAGAATTTTTTTTTTTTCTGTGTTTTAGGTTGTTGCCAAAGGTTTAGAGCTCAGTAGCCCGTTGGAAATGGGCTAATGTAAACGTGGCAGATGTCTGCTTAAACTACTTTATTAAATAGTGTAAATTGCATCATTGGCCCCTAAAGTCTTAGAGAATTGAAAGAATTGCTAATTTAGACTCGCTACTTTTTTTTGTTAGAACCGTATAAACTTGATAAATGAATAATTTTCATTAAATAATATTTTTATAGTATCGAACTTAATTTTACAATGTTCAAAATAGTTTGTAATTGTACTTCCTCTTACATCTGTTGTCGAAGCCGAGATTGCTATATTCAT